CACGTTTAAACCAGAAATGACTCACCCTCCCTGCTATCCACAGTAGGCAGGCCAGCTGCCAACAGACTATGGAAGAGTACAGAAACAATTGCACAAATTTGAAAGGCAGCACTCAACTCCATTTCTGTCTTATAAAATAGACCGAGTTTCTGATAAATGCTGTGATGTGTTTATGGTTGCCACGTTCATGACTCTGCTCAAAAGACCTGGAAAATACTGAGGGGTTGTAAGGCGGTTATTATACTCGGGCAGCCAGGTGGAAGGATGATGCAGGATCTGATATTTGCTTTTGTTTGCAAAACAGGTGTCAGTGTCTCTAGTCCCATTTCCTTTTTTCTCTCACCTGTGTTGCCACGCCCTGGCCTGATGGATCACAGCTGCCGGCTGGGATGTCTCCTAATCACGTTTGTCGGTTCAGAGATGATTGAGATTAGAAGTGTCTTAACCTGTCAGAGTAAATTAAAGCTGCCTCTAGAAGTCTGACTGAAATGTACTGGACTAAAAAGTCCTGGGGGTTTTGTAGTGAGAAGTCAGCAGCCTTCAGAGCATTCCTTAGGTTTTGTAGCACAGACATGCTTAGATTGGCATTCTGTTTTGAATTGTGCTCTAGCTTAGGGACTTTTTTTTTTTTAAGATTTTATTCATGTATTCAAGAGACAGAGAAAGCGAGAGAGAGGCAGAGACACAGGCAGAGGGAGAAGCAGGTTCCATCCAGGGAGCCCGATGCAGGACTTGATCCCTGGTCTCCAGGATCATGCCCTGAGCCGAAGGCACGTGCTAAACCGCTGAGCCACCCAGGGATCCTTTAACTTAGGGACTTCTAAAAACACGGGATTAGGGGCACACCTGGGTGGCTCAGTGGTTGAGCACCTGCCTTTGGCTCAGGGCATGGTCCTGGGATTCTGGGATCGAGTCCCCCATCAGGCTCCCTGCAGGGAGCCTGCTTCTCCCTCTGCCTGTGTCTCTGCCTCCCTCTGTGTGTTTCTCATGAATAAATAAATAAGATCTTAAATAAATAAAAAGACAGGATTGATAACCCTACATACATTTTTTTTTTCGGATGAAGTTAAAAATTTGCCTGACCTTGAAATTTGAAATTGTGCATTTGGAAAAAGATGTTTGAAGTGCTAAACTTAAAAATCCTGTAAGAAGCTACAGACTCCCAAGGTGATGTTTAATTCTATTTTCAATCCACAATTTTGGGCTAAAAGTTGACCCTTTGTAGTCACAGAATGAGGTCAGTGGCTGTGGACCTTCTGTGCTCTGTCCTGTCTGCTCCGGGAGCAAGATCCCTGCTGGCTGTTGTAAGGATTTGCCAGTTGAATGCGCACCGCTGACGCACAGGTCTTCCCTGCCTGTTACACTTGACGCTTGTTTCCTATCCCGCCGGTGCTGCTTGGCCCCGGGGTGGCGCATGGCTGCGGGGCTGATGATGTTTGTGGGCTACCTGAGGGTAAACGGAAACAGCCTTTTGTGGCCAGAGGCAGCTGACCAGGGGCTCTAAGGGATCAACCGCTCTGACTCCTGTTTCCCGGGATCATCCTGTCCGATTGGGAAGTTCTGCTTTACACCTACTCTTCTGACCTTCATGGACTTAGATGCCTTCCTTGTACTGCATGTAGTCAGTCCATTTCAGTGGAATTGCTTAACTTTACAAAGGTCTTATAATGTGGCACTGAAGAAAAAGCTGGTAGAAAGATACATATAGCATGATGCCCAATTTTCCAGAGTTCAGAAACAAGTGAAACTACGTATGTTGTCTGGGGATATGTATACACGTGGTAAAACCTAGGAAATCAAGACCATTACAAACAAAATTCCTTTAGTTACTTCTGGGGCAGGGGCAGTGGAATTGGAATAGGGAGCCCACGTAGAATTTAAACAGCAGCGGTAACGTTAGAGTTCTTAAATTGGGTATTGGGTAGAGTTATGTAATTAATACGCTTTATAAACTACACGTGTATTTTTCTTTTGATAGTATATTTCACAATGAAAATAACAGGTAAAGAATGTTTAGAAAAGATCTTGGCACAATCTTGTTCATGCCCCGCATCCTATTGTTATTTTAAACTTCTAAAAATAATGCACCTGTGCTAAGGAAAAGTCAGGGAGAGCTTATCTGGAACACCAGTCCCCTCCTGCAATTATTGTTGTCTCATTTATTTCCTTCCAATACGAATGTTGTTAGTTATGATAAAGATGTGTGTCTCTGTGTATCTTTATATTGCATGATGGACTCCTGGTCTTTCTAGCCCTTAGTCTTAACGGCAGAATAATAATCCACAGGTGGTCAGTAGCCTAACGTACTAACCATTCCTCTTTGGTGGAATGTTCAAGTCATCTCGACTTTTCTGCTGTCACAGAACATCGTCAGGTTTCTTGCATTCATTCCACAAGTCATTCACGTTATCTGTAAGGCATTCTGTGTGCTTAGAACGTAGTCAGCAAAACGTCCTAGTCTGTGTCCTTGTGCAGTTTAGAGTCTAAAGGCTGTTCTTTATTGTATATTGCATCTAAAGCGTGTATTAATCCCCAGACTTTCAAAAAAAATTTGAGAGAATAGTAGATACACATGCAGTTGTAAGAAAATACAGAAAGTTCCCATGTACCTTTCACCCAGTTCCCTAATGGAAAAATCTCACATAATTCCACAAACAGGAATTGACACTGATGGAATCCATCAGCTTCAGTCAGATTTCAACATTTTTTAACAGTTTTACGTGTTATGTGTTTGTGTTAGGTATGTGTGTGTGTTTTTGTGCAGTTTTATTAGGTGTGACCACCACCACAGTCGAGGTAAAACAGTTCCATCACATGCTATTCTTTTATATCCATGATCTCTTCTCCCCCACCCTTTCCCCCTCCTTAGCCCCTGGCAACCATAAATCTGTTCTCTATAATTTTGTAACATAAAGGATGTTCTATAAATAGCACAATATAGTATGTAACTGTGTAAGACTGGACTTTTTCACACAGCATAATTCTCTTGAGATCCATGGGTATGAGTAGGTTTTTTTCCTTTATATTGTTGAGTAATGCTCCATTGTATGGAGGTATCCACATTCATACACCTGTTGAAGGATATTTGGACTGTTTCCGGTTTTGTGCTATTATGAATAAAGCTATGATTTCCTAACCCTTTTTTAAATTATATGTGAAAGGAAATCAGTAAGACATCAGACCTCTGGACCTCAGCCACCAGTGTCTACATTTGGGGTGTCCTTGTAGAATCCAAAGTATGCCTCCATGAATGGTATTGTGTTTTGGCTTTAATATTTTGTGTCTCAAAATATGTTGCCAACATAGCTAATCTCCTTTTGTTCATGTAACCAGTGAAGCACATCCTGCCACTGTCTTTATTGTCCTTGAGAACTTAAGAGGATAAAATCTTGATTTTTCTGTTGAGCTGTTTGTCCCTTGACGAATGAGGACCCATCGGAGCCTCCTTATACAAAGAAGTTGCTCCATAGACATTTGTTCAACGAATGCCTCTGATCCATAGAGTTGATTGAGGGTATTTAGAAAGGATAAGAGTACACAGAGGCTGGATAAGGGACACTTGGACTTCAACCCTAATGCTTTGATCTTACTACTTAGTTCCAAATATTAAATAATCTCCAGATTTTTAAAGTCTCTCAGAACCAATGGAAACCAAATAATAACGCTAGCCAGTTGGGGCTGCTGTATATGTGTGCTTGGGGGCAAAGCAGACTAAGGAGGGAAGTAACTGCTCAGTGTATTAGCCTTGCACTTCAGAAGAGCCTGCTCTTCTCCCTGCCTGCCAACCCGCCCTTAACACTGCACGCCTGCGCGTGCACACTTGTGTGCATACACGCACGCACGCATGCACACCCCACCCAAGCTGCTGTTTTGCTGTATGAAAGACTGGTTCTGTGCATGTTTCCTGAAACCTCATGAACCTAAAACTGAGAGGACGTGAGCTGTGTGGCAGAGGTGGCTTAGTGACCTGTTTGGTTACTTGTGTGTTTATGATTTAGGTCAGACACTTAGCTTGGCTTTCCACTGCTATTTCTTTTGAATGAGTGGCCACGTTTGTGCCTTTCCAAGGAAGGCCTAAAAATCAGGAACCCCGGGGTCTAAGCAGGCGCTGTGCTGTGTGGTCGCGGCTCACTCTGGTCCCGGGGATGACTGACCTGGACCCGTCCGGAGGCTTGCTCGGTGGCAGGAGAGTGCACCCGGGTGATGCATCTTTCTGGGGCTCTGGAAAACCATTCCGTTATCCTAGTTTGCTCTCTGTTGCTTTTTGACTCCTCCTGCCCCCATTTTCTTAACATAAAGTCAAAAGTCCTTAACTGGGGATAAAGTCTGTAGTCTGAGCCTGCGGGTTGTGGTCTGTGCCTTCCTCTCTGAGACTCACCCGGTGCCACGCAGCCCTTCCTCCCACCCCGAGGTCCGCTTGCACAGCCTCACGTTCCTGCCCACCTCATATCTTTGGAACATGCTATTTGTTCTTCCTGTAACACCATCTGCCCTCCTGCTCTCTCCCTGCGTTTGTCAAGTGCTCCTATGTACCCCCCAATCTTGGCTTCAAAACAGCTTCCTGATGGAAGCCTTCCCCGGCTCCTCACATGTTCCTGAGCCACTTCCGTGTGCCTCTTAGCACCCAGTACTTTGCTGCTTTTCCTCCCCATTTGTGATGTTGATTGACTCTTAATGTGCTGGTACCCATGTATCCTCTCCTTGCCCTGCTCCCCATGAGGATAATGACCATTTCTCTGTTGACTCTTCAGTGCCTGGTGCTGTGTCTGGCATGTACCAGCTGCTCAGTAAATATTTGTTGAATGAATGAATTAACTTGAGAAAATGGCCACCTCCTAAAATGTCCTTGGTACGTTTAACACAGAATTTCTTGTTTTAATAATGGAATTTGTACCTATTTTTTGAAGATCCAGTTATGTGTTCTGATAAAATTACTGACCGGTCTTTGAAGTTTATGACTGTGATTCTTTTTTTTTTTTTTTTTTTTTTTTGTCTTTCAGGTGGGGACCAGGGTTTACTGAACACATTTTTTAGCAGCTGGGCAACAACAGATATCAGAAAACACCTGCCATTTATTTATAACCTAAGCAGCATTTCTATATACTCCTACCTCCCAGCATTTAAAGCGTAAGTGCACAGGTTTAACTGTTGTTGGGGGTGGTCAGGGCAGGGGAGTGGGATTTAAAATTTGGTGGGGCTCCTCATGGTTATTCTGAGGTCAGTCACAGGTGGGAACTTTGAGGGAAGTCTTTATCTTATGAGAAACATGGCTATAGTGGGGAAAGGTCTTGATGTTATCAGTTACTTTGGAGTAACCCCGAGGGCACTTAGCCACCTTATGGGAGAAGGCTCCCTTTTGCTCCTGGGGTGCCACGCCCTCTATTAAATCATCCCTGTGTCATGGTCCAGAACCCATACTGGGCACAACCCTAACTTCTGCTTCGTAGTGGCTGCTAAGCTTCAGTTCCCGTACCTTTAAAATGAGGACATTAACCGCTTTCTCCGTGGTTATTGTGGAGATTAAGCAAGATGCTGGCAACAGGGTGGGGTCCCGGTCCAGAGGGGGTGGAGCCGAACTACCTCGGTTCACATTCTGGAGTAGTTTCCTCCTGGTTGGTTCCTAGTTACTCAACTTCTAGCTCAGGATGAGTTCGTCTAGTCACCGAACTTCTCTGCCTCGATGTCCCCCAAAGCCAATTGTGATCGTTAAGGGAGGTAATTGTATGAAGTGGGTAGAAGGGGGCCTGGCCTCCCTTTAGCACTCAGTAAATGTCAGACTATTAGTCATTTTTATTTGAGAGGAGGCCTAGCAGTAACCGTAATCTCTGAAGCCAGAAAGGCAGGGAGTGTGTTCTCACTGTACCGTTTACTAACTATATGGCTTAGCCTCTGTGCCTCAGTTTATCCATACACAAAATGACAAGGAAAATAAGCCCTACCTCCAGAGTCGTCATGGGGATGGCATGAGTTCACATAGACATAACGTGCTCAGTGGACATCCTGTTTTTGGCAACCTTACTTGTTTGGCACTCCCCTTCGTGTGGTTCTCATTCTGCAGTTAATGCAGCCTCGTTGCAGAGCTTGTCTCACTGTGAGGGCCTGGGCCCTGCTCTTTAGCCTCTGACTCATGTGTGTTGAACGAGGAAGATGATTCAGGCTTCTTGAACAGAGGCCAAGCTAAGCTGTCCGGTAGATCCTGAGACACAGCCCTGAGCGGCAGAGGTCTTGGTTGAGCTGGGCTCGGCTCTGCAGTCTGTCCTGCTTGGGCATTCCTGAGCGAGGAAAACAAAGGGCCTTTCACTCCTCGGATTTCATTATCCAAAGTCTCTCTCTAAGTCTCCTACCACAATAATGAGCATGTCTGGCTTTTTGTGGCAGAAGTGTTTCCTTTTCTGTTCTTTTCCTGGGCAAACTCTGTCAACATTCCCCCAGATAAGGATTACAAGTGTCTTGTGTTCTTTCCTCCCTAACTGTTCTCTTGGCATATGTCTCTGACATATTATAGCCTCTTGATTGTCTTCCCTCTCTAGAATGAAACAGGCAAACTCTCCAACATGCCAGCTGCAGCCCAAGTAACACAAATAGAACAGGATTCGCTAGCAAGGGGTGGATTTAGAGAAACTTGTTTGTTTGTTTGTTTTGTGTTTTGGCCTCTCTGTCCTTGGCCTTGTCAGGTACCAGCTTGTCTTGCTTAGAAATGTGGGCCTGATTCTTTTCATCCTTATTGCCTCACAACCTACCCTGCAACTCTGAGCCATGCTCCTGCAGGCCGTGATAGCTCGATCCCCAGGACTGAATTTGTTATAAGCGGGCGTTGGGGGGACGCCCCGGTGGCTCAGTGGTTGGGCGCCTGCCTTCGGGCCAGGGTGTGATCCTGGGGTCCCGCGAACAGTCCCACATCGGGCTCCCTGCATGGAGCCTGCTTCTCCCTCTGCCTGTGTCTCTGCCTCTCCCTCTCCACCCCGCCCTCCATGAATAAATAAATAAATAAAATCTTAAAAAAAAAAGGCAGTTGGTTAACGTAATTGACTAGACTCAGCTGAGCAAGCAAAAAGATGAGAGGATGAAGGGGAAAGAATCATTAGTAGTGTGAGCAGCTCTACCCACCATCCCACTTAATTCTGCACCGTGAGCATGAGTCCTGGGATGACTGGGGGAGACGCGAATCTGATCTCCTTCCAGTTGGTCTCCGTCCCAGTCAGCCTAGTGGTTAAAGGTTTGTGTTTTCTGTGTAACGTGGCCCCTGGTGCCTAGCAACTATCTCCCCTATGGTTCATTTGGACTCCATCTGATTTTCACCTTAACGCCGAAATGGAGCACGCTGCACCTTCCAGCGGTAGCCTGCTTTGCGCAGACACTGCTTGCCTTTATTTTGTTCTGACAAGAACAAGAAGCAGGTAGAGCAGAGTTAGGTTTTGGGGGAGAGGGGTCGGGGAAGATGGACTTATTTGCCCCTCCCTCAGAGGAACCCACTTGTTTTTATATCCTCTGAATGAATTTCCCAGAAAAGCAGCTTGAGATCTCAATGACCAGAATGGTTAGGATGGTTTCTTCTTCCCAGCTCAACAAATTAGTGCTAATTTTGGAAATCGCCTTGGTTTATTGCCATAGCTGTAGAGTATGTGACGCACTGGGGAAGTGGGGAGCAACTGCATCCGTGTGCTGGCTGTCAGCTGGCCTGTGGCCCGACAGCAGCCCCTGCCGCCTCCGTGAGGCCCGCCCTTGGGGGTGTCCACCCCACACTTCTCGATAAGACCTTCCAGAGTGAGGCTTTGTCTCACCCCATTGCTGCCCATTTAGGAATGTTGAAACCATATCACAGAACTCCTTTTTCCCTTCCCTTTGCCAAAAAACGCCTTTGTTTCTTGCAGAGATCCATCTCCAGAGACGTTTTTTGTACAAATGGGAAGGGCTGAAAGAACAGACAGTTCTATTTCTTTTTTGTTTTGTGTTAATGTAAAATTGTGACCCTGTTCTGCTAAGCCGAGGTAGATGATCACGAACATTTGGGCTGTCGTAGCTCCTCCACAGATTGCCCTGAGCTCCCAGAGGAGCTCAACATGAGTGTGAGGGGCTCCGAATAACTTTGGGGGTGGGGAGGGTCTCCGGGACTTAGTGGCCCTGTGGTGTGCCAGCCTTCCCCAGGGACAGCGTACGGGTGGTGGCAGGTAGAGTGAAAAACTGTGGAGTGGTTCGGAGCAACTTGGGCTTCACAGAGGAAGTAAGAATTTGTCTTACCAGCTCCAAGCAACCATGTGCCATGAGGTCACTGAGGCAGGATTTAGATGCCCCGGAATCTTAGAGCCTTGGATATGTTAAAACACATGCTACACTTAGAACAGTGTAGCCTTGCTATTTTATGGGATTTTTTTTTTTTTTTTTTTTTTTTTTTTTTTTTTTTGCTAAAGGATGGCCTAATGTGACTCCTATTTGGCATGAATTTGAGCCACGGAGGTAGCATTTCTAATGCCTTTCTCTGTATACTGTCTGAACAAAACAGAAAGGAAACAGACTTCATAGTTCTATCACTTTGAGTGATGAATACTCAGACATAGCTTCCGAAAAACATAGTGTGTTTTCTGTAATGGAAGATCCTCTTTAACACAGTATAATTTGAGAGCCAAAATGCTTGGTCCAATAACTTGTAAGGTGATTCGTAATAGATGAATTGAGAAACAAGTGCATTTCTTAAATAATACTCCTGAACGTGCCTAGCGTGTTTAGGAAATAGTAGGCTTATAGTCGATACTAGTTTCTTTTCAGTTTTCTTCATTTAGAAGACCTGTTTTATTCGTGTAGTTTAGAATCTGGCTTGTGCATAGTGCTAGGCAAAAATCTCCTCAGCCTTTAAAAAAAAAAAATCAGTCATATAGCTCTATTTTAGCTTTCTATCCTAAGTAGAGACTAAAAGCTACTTGTGGCATTTTGTGCCATATAAAGTGGGCCCGGAGCAAAGAGAGTTCTCTGGTTTCAAATTGCCATACAAATTAATTAGTCCTATTGATTGACTACAGAGCTTGTTTTACCAAATAATTTCCAAGTATTTTAACTTTTTTTTTTTTTTTTTAAACTCAAGTTCAGATATGATCTGAGACCTGGCTGGTCTAGTCTCAGAAAGTGGGTCTAGAAACCTAAACGATTTCTCTCCATTTGCTTACTGCTCTAAATTCTTCTGAGAATGTTTGTATACACTGTTATTTTTTTCAGGAATGTGGCCTCTAAGACCTTCTCTTGAAAATCAGTATTTTCCCAAAAATGAAATGAACCTTTGGGGTCCTGAATTCTGTTGTTCTTGTGTGTTTCTGATTTGATTGATTTTTTTTTTTTCCTTGCCCCCTGAGACACCTTTGGCTCCAGCCCCCCATCCATGACTCTTGTCTCTGAAGCCGGAGCCTTTCTGTGTTCATTACTTTCACACGCTTACATCTGCCCCTAAACCCCAAGGTCTTGGAGTTTGGATCTTATTTTTTCAGCTGCCTGTCTGTCCCCTCACCTGTTCGTCTGGTTGGCGGGCCTGCAGCACGTAGAGGGTGCCACACATCCTGCTTGCTGAGGGCCGCAAAACGAGGGAGCTTTAGGCTACGAGGGTACAAGGAGTGGCACCTCCTGAGTAAGAAATGCCTGCGGTAGGAGACAGCACGAAGGAGGAGAGGAAGAGTATGCGGGTGGAGTGGAAGACGTACCCTCCAGGTCTTGGACCGGTGGGCTGCAGACTGGATTTGGATTTGTCCCACAGTTACGTTTTGTCTTCCTTACATGGTTTCCTTTTTTTTTTTTTTTTTTAACTCAGTTGCCAGTGCTTAAAAATCAGGGAATTTCACATGAAACCTAGATTTTCAACTTCTTTTGGAAAAAAAAAAAATCCGGTGAGATGTGGAAGAAAGATGTCTAGTGACTGTTACAGGTTTGAGGCCATAAGCAATGAAGTAAAGGAGTTGCCATTTCCTAAGATGGGGGGGTTAGAGACAGGTTTTTAGGGGACAGGGATTGACCAAAGATGTATTAAATATATCCAGTTTGGGATGTATTAAGTGTGAGGTGCCTATGAAACACCCTAGGTAAGTAGATGTAAGAGTGGGGGGTTGCGGAGAGAAGTCCCGGTGAGACATACCCATGGGAGTGTCGGC